CTTTCGCTGGCGTGTTTTTTCCAATTCCTATACCACATAGAATCAGTCGAGCGTGCTAGGAGTCAGGGTAGGATTCCAAAGTCGGTAAGAAAAGCAGTAAGATGTTAGGATGAACTCGTTGTAGTAGTTGCCCATCGTTTATGCCTATTAAGGACGGGAGATTACAGGCTTAATTTCAGAAATTTGACGCGATAGAAAAGTTAATAGTGAGAAAATTTCCCTTTGATCCAATAATCGGTTACATAAGTAATCCAGGAATTTTGATTTAATGGCGTCTGGAGGTCTAGGCATATCTGGAGCTCTTTATTGGTATCATTTGAACAGTCAACAAAAATCTTTTCTCCCTGCGTGAGACTAACTGTATGTAACTCAAAAATGATCGGTGATAACTTTGCAAAAGGCTGCTTTTCTCCCAGACATACAGTAGCGCTCAAAAGTCTTCGGTGAAATGCTTCGACGCTTTTTCGTTCATAACTTTTTTCGTAGTAGACCAAATCGCGCAAAATTCGGAATGTTTAACTAGAGCATATTTCACTTTACCCAAAACTATTTGACTGCAAAGCTGCACATCCACAGGTAGAGCAAGGTTTTGTTGCGGTAGCAGAATTTGCTAAAACTAAAGTTGTTGACGTCTGCAGTTACTCGAAACTTATGTGCGTTTTTCTAATCTACTATGTTCGGCATTAGCGCTCGTACACTTTGGACATGACGAAAAGGAAAGAATTCCTAGGAGGACCAATGTTTGTATTTCCAGTTGATTTTGATTTCAAGCTCTTTTGAATATCAGGAAAACGACCAGATGGCAGGTTAATAGTGGTATATATTCACAATACACCCATGCTACACATATCGAAATTTCGCGCGATTTGATCCAGTAGGAAAGAAGTTACTACTGAAAAGTACGGCTGAAGAACCATTTCTTCGAAGACTTTTGAGCGCTACTGTAGCTCTAAAGCACCGATATCTACCAAAGAACACTTCTGCAGGCATGGGCTATCAGTGTAGCATGAAGAAGCCCCCTTAACAAGGCCTTATGACTCACACACCTGCTCTTTATTTAGCATCATACTCAAACTCCCAGAGGGTAGTTTTCTGAAGGTTTCAGGTTGAGTTCGGCCAGGTTTCACGGTTTTGGTCTTGATATGTGCCAACACTGGCACTCTCGTCAATCAGAGTTAAATCCCTGGTCAACTTGCAGCAAGGAATACCTATTCTGTTCCTATAGGGTAGATTGGGTAAGCGTTACATTCGAGGAGGGCTAATGCGGTTCAATCATCAGCTGGCATCAGAATTCTCGGTACAGTACACGTACTTAGCGAAATGTACCAGAAGCCTTGAATGAAAGCTGGTCGTGTGGTACGATTCGGGCAGGGTGAAATGGCTTGTCGACTTGGACTTTAAATAGAATACAACAAAAGAAAGAACACCAAAAAAGGAGTGAGGCCACATGCCGTCAGCAGTGCGTTCGTGTACGGTGTCATGATGCCCTTATCGGTTAAAACGACCCGAAAGGCATAAAAACTGATCTCGTCTGGCGAAGTTCAATAATTCTGTTGACGTGTACTGAGTAACAATGACACCTTTATTCCTCTGATTGTATAATTGCCATATGCGTTCAATGGTTCTTTAATGGGCTATAATGTGTGGCTCGAGTAACGTGCTGAATGTCTATGTAAAGTTTTTTAGGCCTGTTACGGTATTCTCCCGTAATATCTCCCTTGCAGTCACGGTATACCACGCGAGGAGAGTGATGAAAACACTTTCGGAAAGGTGACACCCTCGTACTCTTGCTCATCCACTTCCTCCTCCTCCTCGAGTGGATATCAGTAACGCCTCTATTTGTCCCTGTCTCTAGCAAGGGTAGTCCACAGGAACGTGCTTGCTCCTGGGACAAGAGGAATAGCCTCCTCTCAGGGATACGGTCATACGAAAAATGCACGCAGTTGTCTAGGTGAGAGACTGCAGAGGAGATTTCGTTTAACTGCATGCTGCAAGTTCATTTATGCCATAACTGCGTAAATGTAGGTCCTAAAAAGGGAACGGGACATAGTTTGTAAACATAGGAATTCTCGAAAATGCTCAGATTCAGCGTTCCATCCCACTTAGTTGTGAGCCAACACAGAGAAGCTGCAGGAACGCTATGGGTCTTTGCTCTTTTGCTCTTCGTTATGAAAAGCCCTCTCCCCACCTACACTCTTTCTTGGCGCCGTCTAATCAGGCGATCTGAATTGCTAAAAGATAAGATGAAGGTGTGCATAGTGTGGGTCGATTTTTGCTTTTTGTCGCTGCACCCTCGTAATCCATTCACATTAGCGTTAAAGCACCTATAAAAAGGAAACCGCTGCAGCTGCAGTTTTGGAGACATCGTTTTTACCCTCACCTTTTGCACGACAGATACAGTTTTCAGTGACAGTGGCAAGGTGAAGACTAAGACTTGCGCCACATCTTGCCCGACTTGGTGTTAGTCATCCCTAGCAGTTGGGTTGGTGTAGTAGGTTGGTTTCGGCCTCACATAAATGTCCTCATCGGAATCCTTCAGATTGAAGTGGGCGTCACAATTCCTTCGAACCATTCCTCTTCAGGCAACTTTCTTGAGCAAACACCTACTTAGCGTCACCAATGCTGCATCAGTGCGACGACTGAATGATGAGTTTGATTGCATGAAATTTAAGCTGTGAATGGAGGTTGAACAATTTAGGTCGATCAACCTTATTCTTTTTTGTTGTTTTCAGAGCTGTTCACTATTGTTTGAATGTTGCTGTTTTGTTGCTTTGTGTAGAAGTACAT